ATATAATAAAAAAACAAAAATAAAAATAAAACCTGCAACGCCTACGACAACGTTACAACAAAATTAAGTTTTTAAGTTCATAAATAATTCAGCTCCACCCTAAAAATTACTGACATTATCCATAAGATCGCGTACATTAATGATATATTTCGGTCTAACACGCATTGGTATAAATCTCTGAAGAATATCTGGTTTAAAATTCCAAGTTCCCGTGACACAATAGAGATTCGGGAGTGTTATGAACATAATTATTAAGTTCTTTATTATAATTCTCTTTAGTTACGCTGATATTATTGGCGAAGAGCTTCTCGTTTATCCATTTATTAAGAAGAAAATCTGTGAAATAATATCGATTTGCCATCTGTATCGATATTCTTACGTCATTTGAGTGATGTGAAACTAAATTTGAACGATTTGTCATCCGTTACAATATCTATACAAGAATATACACTGTATATTGTATTGCGTATACTTTAAATTCATGTCGAAACGATTCTACAGAATTAAATTGAAACGAAGGTATGTATTTATACACGTACAAAATTCCTTTGTTTTATGTGTAAAATAATTTTTATACCACTTAATTAATTACTAGTTATGTGTTGTACTGTATACTGTATACAGCACGCTTGTATGGTATATGTACTGTACTTTACAGTACGTGGTAAAAGTAGTGTTTCTATATCTCTATAAATAATCGGTAAATAATTATTAAATATACAGATATATATTACCTATATAAGAGTATTAATGCAGGTATTCGATGCATATGCATCAAAACGTAACGATGATCCCCGCAGTTCCGCAGCACAGATGAGTCATGGCAAAGAAAACCCATAGAGATTAGAAGTAAAATTTGTAAAATTATTCGAAAAAACTTTGAGTTTTTCTCCCCCTCCGATATCGCTGATGTAATTTATGCACTTTTGAAAATTATTTCTCTGTAGGTTACTGATAGGTTTGAATTATTTGTGCATATAGCCTATATATATAACTATAAAAAGCAGTTACGTGATCAGGAAGGGATCTCTTAACTTTATAAATAAATTAAGAAGAAATCAAATAAGTATTCTACAGGGAAAAGATTTAAATGTAACAAACACACTTATACACACGTGTATACAATAAGAGTTTACTCTTCAAGCCACAGCGCTTTCGGTTACATTCATAGTGTTACAGGGGTGAATGTAGCTTTGGATTTTTTAATTCTAGTTCCCTCTAATAACTTATAGTTTTAGTTACTCTACTGATAAAAAGTAACTGTTATGTATGGATTAGTAATTACTAAATTTTACAATTTACTCAGATTTATGCATTTTATCCTATATAATAACAGATAAAATCGAATGAATTTGAATGCAGTTTTGTACAAATGTAAACGTTGGATCCGATGAATCTTTATTTAAATATTATAATACTTTGATTCTTCTTCCAATAAAACAGTTTAGAATTATAAGTTAAAATTTGCTTAGTCTGTAGACATTATTTTATTTTGTAAATAATTTTTCTATACATATCGGATGGATTACTTTTTAATATTATGTGATTTATAAGACTGAAAATTTTTAGAAGTGTTCAGATTTAATAAATTAAAACATATTGAATACAATTTCAAAACTAAAAATAAATTTTTTCTGATTGAATTAATCAATGAAAAAATTACTCATTTAAATTCAACATGAAGAAAATAATTGGTTAAATTTAGAATTTAACGTATTTTTTTTCCCTTTGTGTTTCTTTTAATTGAATAATAACTTACCCTTAGGCATAATTGTCTGCAAAAAGTAAAGTAACTTTATAAGATGGTTACTTTTTCTTTAATGTTTTTTTTGTATGTGAAATTAAAAACAAAAACAATATCAATACAAAAGCTAGAAATTAAATGGAGAAATAATTAATTTAAAGCATAATTTTAAAAATTTAATTGGATTCTACGTGTAATTTCATTAAAATTGTTTTTGTTTTTTACTTTTCATTTTATGGAAAGTAAATTTACATAAAATGAAACTAACTTTAGTTAGTTTTCCTACATTAACATATATGAAAACTATATAATTGCAGCTATAATATCTCTGTAAATGTTGCATAAACTTGTATTAGATGATACAGATTTATTAGCTAAATAAATTTAAAACAAATCTTTTGTAATATTAAACAAAGTTTTTAAAATAATAATTTAAACAGAAATAGTTTTTAAATTTGAATATCTTTAATCAGCATGTTATGTAAAACCTAAAATATAACTGTAATCAGTTAAAATGTTGGGTAATATTATTACAAAAATTGAAATTATCATATTATTTATTAATCAAATTTTAAGTTTATTCAAATTATTTTTAAATGTATATTAATATTATTTATTTTGAGATCAAAGTATTATGTCGTTATGTAAACTGTAGAAAATTATATGCACAGTGTAGGGTTTTACTTATATTGATAGATATTAAAAAATATTATCAACAATTATTTAAAAATTAGAGAGAAAGTACTATAATTTCAAATAGTTTGCATAAATTATAGAATATAATATATCTGTGAATCTTCTGACTTTCTGTGAAATCATTGAACAGCATGAAAATCTTGTTTTTGAAATTACATATTGTGTATTTTATTTTCTTACAAAATTATTAATATTTTAATTTAGCCAAAGAACTTGAAAATCATCAGCATTAAAATGTTTTAATTTAGCATATATCATCACAAAATCATAAATTAATTCTAAAGAAATTTTTATTTTTATAATTATTATTACAATGTTCTTAATTTCCAAGAATTTTTTTTATTTGTGGTTATTAATATTTATGTAATTTATTTATTCACTGTTCATTTGTATATAATATTTTAATATCTCTAAGCTTTTTAACAATGGAAAAATGTTTTAAAGTAAAATATAAATTAATTAAAATAATAAGAGAAAGTTTTTCTATTCTTCCAGCTGTAACACAGTATAAAAATGCACTGTCATAAGGAATTGAATAAGAAATTGATTTACCAAGTTAATTAAATTACTTTTTTGCTGTTTGTCTTGAATTAATCTAGTTTCTCATAGTTTATATTTTTGTTTTTTAAATTTATTGAATTTTTAAAATTTGCTTTTCTTTGTCTATTTGTTGTGTAAATTGGAGCTTTGTACTTGAAGATAGAAACTCTGCAATAAGTGTTAAACTTTTTATTGGTTACTTACTTGAAATTGTTGTATGATAAAATTGATTTTCTGAGAAGTAACCAGAAAGAACTGGAAATTTTTTGTTTTGATGCATTTTTATATGACAAACATTTTGAAAAATATACTTTTATGAAGATTTTCAAATAAAAAATAAACATTTAAATGAAAAATATAATTATATATTTATAACAAAGGAACATGATTTTTTACTATTATTTAATGGTTTAAATGTATTGTTTAGTTGATAATATATACACACTTACACTAAATATAAATGTATATAGATATATGATTAGTTGATTTAAATTTATATTAGATGATTAGCTGATCTTAATATTTTGGAAATGTATCAAATTTATGCTCTTGTAATGATCACTATATCATAATGGTGACTGAAATTATGATATATAATATACAATTATGTAACTATTATTTAAAATTTAATTGAAATGTAATATATCATTCTAATTCCAGCTGCAAAATGTGAATGCTTTTGAAAAACATAAATAATTTTATATAGAATTTATATCTAATGATTGCATGTTCATTCATATTATTACTACATAATTTATATGTTCAATGTTTATTTAACACACTTTAATATTTTTTAATAATATAACTATCAATATTTAAAATAAAATATTTACATATGTTTGAAAATAATTAGGAAGTTATTTTTATAAATACTTTCTATATTATTTCTATATCATTATAGAATTTAAATTGATTTTATGGTTTATAGTCTACTTTTGGTCTCTGAGTAAGTGAAAAATTTAGAATATTTTGCATGTTTTAAAAAGCTAGAAAGCATTTTAAATTTATTATTATACATTTTAATATTTTGCACATTCTCCTTCCATTTCTAGTGTATATTTACATTGTATTTTACTTAGTGTGTGCGTGTTCAGTTGTTACTAGTTTGTTATCAAACTTTTTTCTTTTTTGAATGGTGATTTAATAATTTTTGAGTCCAATGATATTTTTGTATATCAAGAAATTTCTTTTAAATTTAATTTCAAATCCAAGTAAAAAAAAAAACCATTTTTTTCACTTCTTTCCACCATTTCAATGTAGTTTTCTTCCTCTGTTCAGCTAATTTAGTTTTGTAAATTTTCTTTTCTTTCAGTTTTCATTACGGAATAGTTTTTCCAAAACATTACTGAAATCTTCAATTCATCAATTGATGTTTCGAAAAAATAACAACAAAAATCTGCTTTATTGGAGCTTGCTCTCATTAAATATAATTGAGCCCTACTAAAGTAGATTTTTGTTATGTTTAAAAATTGAAGTTGTTTTTTCATTATTTCATTGTTTTCATTATTAAAAAAATAAATTTTTAAACATTTATATTAATTTTTTTAAATGTAGCTTTTTAAGTAAAATTTGATATCTGCTAATTTGAAAAGTTATAAGAATTTACTTTATTTTATCAAATTAAATTTACACCCAGTGCATTTGATAATTGTAAGTAATAAAATTGGCAGATACTAGAACTTTAAGCTAATCACTATTTAATTTTCAAATAATTTTGTCATTTTTGAGGAAAAAAAGTTGTAACAGATTCAACAATTAAATAAATTTAGGATATTCAATATTTCAATGATTATATTTATATCTGATATTTTAAGAATAAATTGATTATCATATATGATAAAAACTGAATATTAATAATAATTTTCTTTTTAAAATTAAATAGTTTTCAATTTTTTAAGAAATATTTTAAGAACAAGTGTTCAATATAAGGACAATATTGCTATCTTATTTAATGGCTTCTTTATTCATTTTTCTCTCTTTTGCATTAATGAGATGATTAATTTTACATCACTGCTTACAGATTTTGTTTTCAGTTTTCTGTGACATTACATTGCTGAGCTGCTACATTTAATAATAAGTAAGGTAATATTAAAGATATATGTTGTTATAATGTTATTAAATTTGAAATATTACATAATTCTCAAATTATTAAAATATATTTATTAATTTTTGTAATTTAATTCATTAATGTTTATAATTATAAAAAAATAACTGAACAAAAAATCTAAAGCTTCTAATAAGTTCTTACAAATTTAGATATTTTTATTTTTAAATAATAGATTGATTTTTTTTTCTTTTAACAAAGTTGAAAAAAACCATAATGAAATACTTAATTAAAATTTTTAATTGAAAAGAAAAGCTGCTAAAAATTTTTTATTTTTAATCATATGAATTGTATTTATATGTTTTTAAAATTAAATAAAATTGTATTGGTTTTATAAAAATTAAAGAATTGCATCTAACTACTTTGATCCATTTTTTCCCTGCAAACAAAAACAACTTCCTGATTAATCCTTTTAAATTCTAAGGATTCGCCAGATTAAAGTTTGAAAATACTTTATTTTATATAACTGATTTATTTTGTTGTTATTTTTCATCGTGATAGCATTAGTAACTCTGGTGTTTTTCTTAAATTGAATTTTCATTCTAAACTATTTCTTTCTTAATAAATTTCATTTTTTAAAAATTTAATTTAAAAACTCTTTATGTGATAATTTTTTGTGCTCTATTATTTATTTATTGTTACTTAATTATAATTTTCTAATTTTATTACTTGCATCTGTAATTATATTCAACTATAATAGAATGATAATTGATGAAGTTGGCTTCTCTCTAAAACATAAACATAATATATTTATCATTAATTAATCTTTACCATAGTTTAACATTAATAAAAGTAAATATATACAGTAATACCTCAACTTACACTACCCTGACTTACGCGATTTTCAAATCTCATCGATTCGTCTTTTATTTGCGCACCACGCAACTCTTGATTAGTTTTGAACCCCACACTACTGTTCAACTTACATAATCGGATGTGTTGTGTGGAATTGACACATAGCTACAATTTATTTTGTGTTTGTTTGTTATATCTACGGAGACTTGAGAGACTCTATGTGGTGATTTCTTGTAACCGTGAACGAATCAAAAGACGAGATAAGATTGATGAGAACATTTATTAGCTTACATACATTCGACTTGGATTTTACACAAATTGCGAAATTATACCCCAACTTATGCGAATTTGACTTACGTGGTTATCACTCGGTCCCACCTATCGTGTAAGTTTGGGGTATTACTGTATGTATATATATATATATATATATATATATAATACTATAATATCATTTAAAATTAATAAAATAAGTATAATGTAACATAATTTAATATTTTCAGAAGCCACAAAGAAAAATAATGAGAAAAAGAAGATTGTGTTGTGATAGGCTACTTTTTATGATGGTCTTGTTCAGTGTGCTTGGATGTTATCCACAATTTGGATACTGTTGCGAATTTGACGATATCATATCAAATGACGTTGTAAAAACTTTTGTTAATTATAGTTCAAAACATAAGAGAGATATGAATAAAGCTGACATATCAAGTGATTTTAAGCCAATTCGAATTCATGTTTATTATGGTATAATGGACCATGGTATGGTTGCTGAACAAACAACAAGACTCTTTTCCATTGTAGAAAAAGCTAGGAATAAAATGTCACAATTACTTTCAGGTAAGATTATTTTCTTGTGTGTAAGAAAACTTTTTTTTTCCTTCAAATCTTAGACTGACATTTACTAAATTATTTTGATTTAGAAAGTAAACTCTGTTTAAAAACTCAAATTTAGAAATTTTATTATAAAAACAAATTAATATAATTTTCTTTGAAGAGAATTCGACACAGATATTTAACAGTTATATATTTAAATTAACTAAAGACATTAAAAAACCTAATATCCAGCACTTCCAAATTTCTCTGCTGGATATTAAGTTTTTTAGTGTCTTTAGTTCAAGTATATTCAGTTTTTGAATGGTAGTATTCTAAATTAACAATTATTTTCCAAAATACACAATTTTAGTATATAAAACTTTATTTTGATTCAAAATTAATGTAATTATTTCATTTATCTTACCAAAAACAGTTTGTTTTCTTATTTGCTTTGTTTTCTTCATTTGTATGATTCATGCATGTTGATAACTAATTGGAAAACAATTATTCCCTTTTATAAGAAATATTATGATTGAAAGTATAACAAATTTATTATCATGCATTTTGATTATAATTTTATTCAATTAAAATAATGTAAATTAATTTAAAAAAATTAAATAATTTTAAAAATACTATAGTTCTTATAAATAACATTTCTTTAAACAATGTTTGAAATCTTTCATTGAGTGAATAAAAAAAAAAGAGATTGTTTCATCCCAACCGATCTAGATTCCATTATTGATTTTCAAAAAATTTTAATATGCAATGAGGAATTCATATCTAAAACAAAATATGATATTCTCTGTTTCCATTTATTATAAATATTAAATAAAAGAATCTATATAATAAAAGCATTTTTTATTAATTATACTAACTTAAAAAAAAGACTGAATGGCTTATAATTAAAATATAAGTAATGATATTTAATTTATAAAGGATTTTTTTTGTTAATTATATATGATTAAATATCTTTCTAATAAATGAACTATGTTTAAGAAATCAAATTATATTTTTGTTCTTAAAATTTATGCAAGAAAGCCATATAAAAGTGGAGTGAATGATTTTGTTAATTCAAAAAAGCATGATGGTTCCCATCTTTGTAAATATTGAAATTCTATCACATACCATATTGGAGCATAGTTCTCTAAAATTCATTAAATAATTACAAGATTTGAAAATATATAGTTAAAAATAATTTATTATGTAATAAATTTTTCACTCAAAACATATTTTAATATTAAAAAATTAACAAGAAACTTTTTCATATTCATAAAGTATTTTAATGTTTTCTAGAAAAACAAATATAAGAACAAGTAATTTAGTGCTTACTTATGCAGTGGAGCAATTGTTAATTATTCAAAAATTGGGAGAAAAAAAAAAATTGCTGCAATGAAAAAAGTTTGTTTTTAATTATAAAATATCTATCAAAGTTAACACATCTGCAAACATATTTGCTTTTGCAATTTTTTAAAATTAAATCTTACATATAGTAAGCCTGAAAAAAAGGCTGCCTTAGTGTGCTCATGGGTCAAAGAGTAAAAATAAAAAAGATATAACAAATATATTTATATATAAAATTATATTATCATGTCAAACTAACTTAAATCATTTGCAAGTAAAGGTAATTTATTTAAAATAATTCATAAAACAGTTTATCCCAGAATCATCAGAATAAGAATGCTGTTTTTTTTTTAAATTTATATGAAATCTTTTTCTGTTAAATTTAGTTCATTTCATTAATTAAAATGGATAATTTATTATCTCTAAAAAAAGAAAAGCAAAAAAAGTTGTATTTTACAGGTTAATTATCTGTTAGTCTAGACTATGAATTTACATTTGTCTTATTTACTTAATTTAAATTAGTTTTTAATTATTATTAATTTATCCCCATTTAAATAATGTTAATTCTAAAGTTGGGTTTTTAATTTACGACATATTTTTTTCTAATGAAATGTCATTTATTTCTAAAATATCAAGAAATATGCTAATCATTTAGAATAAATTCATTGTTAATCTGAAACATAACCTGAAATTTAACTCAACTTAATATCAATTCTGCCTGAATTAATTAAACAGTTACGTAAAAAATGAAAGTAATAAATTAAAATGAATATACCAAATTAAATATATCATATTTTAAATTTTACTCAAATATATTTATGGTAATATATACAGTAAATATAATTTTGAAAAATGAATTATTGAATAAAAATATATAAAATAGAAAAACAAAAACAAACAATTTTTTTTTTATAAACTTTCATTATTTAATTTTAAAATATTTCTACAAGATTGAAAAATTTTACAAATGATACATAAAAATTAATTAGCATAATAAATCTTAATTTATATAATTCAGTTTTAAAATTATGAAACGTTCTTAATATATACATTAAATATACTTTATCAAAAAGTTTGTTTTAAAAAAATACAGTTAATTTTATTATTATATCATATAATAAATCTTAAAATAGCATAAGTTTCGTAGAAATTAAAAAAAATTTAAATTAAAATACTGTACTGTAAACCTTCAATTTAGCAGATCTTGATTTAACAACTTTGGATCTAATGGATAAAAAAATTTGTTTTACAGGAAAATTTAAAACTTTTTTCTTAGTAAATAGAGTATGCTAAAAGAACAAACAATGAATAATTTATATACATTGATACAATGTCCATTGTAACATTATTTTATTAAAACATTATGATGTATAAGTATTAACACATATTGCATATTTTAAGTTTTTTACTAATATGTATTTTTAAATCACATTTGATTTAATGGACTTTTGACAATAGCAGATACCTTTTCACCCAATTAGTCCATTAAATCGAGGGTTTACTGTATCTTTAAAATACACGCAATGCTTTGATTTTCATTCTGTTCAAAGAATAACTGAGCTATTTATAAGTGAAAGTATCTTTTTTAAATTAATCAATATATTTTACAATATATATAAATTTGTTTGTTTCACTTTATTATTATTATGTTGGGTTTAGTGGGTTATACTTGATTGACACCGGTTGCTGTGTACTATACTGGACCAGAGTCAAGACATAGCAACCAAAACAAAAAAAAAAAATTAAATAAGTGTATTAGTCTGTGTGTCTGTATTCAGGAATTTCCTAACAATATGACATGTATTCAATATAGTGGCCTTCTGTAGTGTCATGTATGTGTTTCTATTTAACTGTAATGTTCCCAGGCTTTTGTGTAGTGTGTGTGTGTGTGGTATGACATAATTATTGTTATTAAATTATGTATAACTTCTGTAAATAAATAAAATAAATAAATATATGTATATATTTATAAATCATAAATTTATATTAGAATTAATAAATCAGAATCAATTACAAATGATTTTGCAGAATTATTCTCTAATACAATTCATAGAAAAACTACAATGAAATTCAATTTTACATAATTTCTAAACTTTTTACATAACTTAAATTCACATTATAAAAAATTTTAATTTATATATTGATAAGGAAAGAAATTTAATATGATAAAACATGAAGAACAATGATATTGTGCCAGGTCAATGATATTTGACAATATATTAATTTAAATTTTTTACTTGAATGATCATATGTGTATAATTTTAATAAATAAAATATATTTAAAGCTGATCCAAAATTTTAATGAAATTGTCGAAATTTATATAAATTTTTAAAAATTTTATTACATTTTTTCCTTATTACTTAAAAATAACTTTTTTATTTTCTATTATAATAGATTGCCTTTTAATACAAGTAATTTATTTTAAAAGTTTTCAAAGTACATTTGAGATGTTTAAAACCTTATATGTATTTCTGTTTATGATATTATAATATAAAATTTATGTTATAGTTTTGTATATATTAATTTAATTTTAAATAAAATTTTTTTTATCTTTTGTTTGTAGATATCTTAATTATTAAAATGATGAAATTTTTAAAAGTACATAATTATACTTTTGTCCACTTTGGACATTCTTGTGTACTAGGATTTGTTATACTGAGGGAATGTAATCAAGATTATGTTACAGTAAATATAGTTTAATTGGAAATTATGTGTTTCTCTTCTTTCAGTATAACATTTTCTAATACACAAGAATGTCCAAAGTTGACAAAGTATAATATAAGTAATTAAGGAGAAGAAGCACATATCAACAAAGTACATAATGTATTTTGAAACTTCATATAATATAATTTGCTTATTGTAATCACTTTGGGACATGTCTATACCGATGATGATAAATTACTGATAACATTAAATGAGGTAAGTCAATGAAGTAATGGGAATTTTGGTTTTATTGACATTGATATTAAAAATATGTTAAAACAGTTATAAAATGTATTACTTGATGATTTATTACACACGGAATGAATTGCTATTTGTCTGTGTTTTTTGCAACACTCAATTTAAATTCTTGTACTGTGAAAAATAATTGAAAAAAAAAGAAACAAATATTTGATGTTTATCATCAGTTTTAACCAGTACATTAATTAATAACAATTATGTACTATCATCAGTTATCAGCCAAAAGACATAGCAAGATTACAATACAAAAAACTTTGTTTTTTGTATTGTAATCTTGCTATTAAATGTTAGTTTGCTATTAAATGTTTATTACTGGAGTTATAAGGTTTAGGAGTGTTAATTTAAACAAAGTTTTATAAATGTGTATCATAACTATGAAGATCTACAGATTTTTAACTTTTAGCCATTACATTTTAATTTATGATTATTTATTTACTATCATGCATGTGATGTAAATATACTGAAATATGGTATTTACTTTCCAATTTTTATAAAAATTAATAATTAAAAGATACCAATAAATAGAAGTGTATGATGATAAAAAGTAAGTTAACTTATTAGTACTAAAAATTCTAGTAATACTCAACTTCCTACCAAAGGATGAATGAACCAAAATACTAAAAATATAGAATATTTAATTCATTAGGTAAAAAGTTTTTGAAGCATATATACACAAAAAATGATTTAAACATAATTTTGAAATTTTTCCCTTCTCACCTAT